TGATGGTCTTTCGGAAGCTTGATTCCTGTGCTGGGAAGTTCTGTTTGACCCAGTTTCTCTATGAACACCTGAAAGTTTGAACCTGGGAAACCATTAACATTTTCAGACCGCAAAGAACCAGCTGAGGCCTTATTTGCAGCCACTGAAACAGAAGTAGAGCTCCGAGCATCCCCTTCCCAGAATCCCCCAGTTTTGGCATGGTCAATGGAACAAGATTGACTATTGTTGGGACTGACCAGCACTGCTGCTTTCTCCTCCTTTGCCGGAGTTGAAGGAAGGTCAGTTGCACCAGCACCAGCAGAGTTACGAGATTGTCCATCTTTTAGGTTTGTGCCCACTGATGTAGGTGATTGTGCGATTTCACAGACACTGGGATGCAAATGCTGACTTTGTAGTGGCTCCCCTGATACAGGCTTGACTGAAGCATTTTAGAAGCAGTAGGCTGCACCAAGCCTTTACAGCAACCTCAGAGGATCCACCTGACTGTCTTTCCCACCAGGAGTAACTTCTGGAAGCCTGGATCTAGCTGGCCAGAACAGCCTGATTTGGATTGCATCCATTTCAGCCTCAACACGTTCTTCCAGGTGTCAACTAAACTCCTGCTTCTTCTGAATTTCCAAATTCTTGTGTGTACGCAATGATTCACAGACTTGCCAATGTTACACATTGTAGTGCATGAAGATTATAGGCGCTTATCAAGCGCACGGAGTAAAATTAAGAGAAATTCCTCAATTGATTTATCACCGTCCTTGGGGCTGTTACCATCTCCAATCTTCCTTTGTGGACCTCTTGGAGCCATTCATCTACACAGGCAAACCCTTGGCTGCACAACCAATTAAGGCAATCAATTTTTTCAGTCGCAGCACGACACCAGCAAGCATTGACCGGCAAACCAAATCTTTTTTTTCTCAGGTGTCATGAGCTGCACCAATTTCTCTACCCCATCATAGTCTACAAGTCCCCCTTTATCAGTAAATTTGGCATCTCAGATTTTAAACTATCCTTCTGTTGTGACCAGAATCCCCATCCTCCATTCTTGAAGAATTTCTCGTTTAACAGGCCACAGCCCTGATCTCCCCTCTCCCTTTTCTTCCCCTTTACTTGCATGGAGAGGAGGAAGCACTATTCTGCACACCGTCGGACCCAGGTTTTAATTGTGAAGTTGAATTTGGACCATTCATTGGCTTTGGAGCGGCCACCTGGTGGCACTGTTGCATGCATTTCTACACGGTCTTATACAATAGTTGATCTATTTCTTCCTGTCGGTCCTGAGAAATAAAAATATTGATTACCGGAAAAGAGTCAAAACAGTAGCTAAAGGAAAAAATACAAAACACACAAGAGCATAAAAAGCTTACAGTCATATAGTCTTTATCAGTTAGCCACCATAAACACTGTTTGGTAATATCATATACTTTCCGGCACACAAAGAGAGCCAATTCCTGATGGAAGTTCAACACCTTTTGGAAGGAATGCGACTTACACCGGATGTAGTAATGAAGTAGCAGGAATCTCATCCTTATGGAGGAATAAAAAATTTCGTTTGGCGCAGCCTCCATGGGAAGCCTTTGCCAAGTTTTAATTCAGCCATCGATAAAGCCAATTTACACTTAATGTTAACTTATTCTCTTCCCCAGCATGGACGAACGAATTATACCAATGAGGAGGAGAATGCTGGGAGGTTTGAAAAGTGCACAATCCACCACACTGATTTTACGTCCATCCTGTGGAGAACATTTTGGGCTTGGTGAACCAAAGAATGACTTAACAGCATGAGAAAAAAAAGAGCATTCCACAATAACAACTTTTTGGACTAAACACAAACTATAAAAAAAATTACTGACAAGTCATTCCTAAATCAGCATTATCTTTTACATTAAAGCCGATTACATTTACTTACAAAACCACTACAACAACATTTAACAACACTATCATCGATTAAATATGATCATCAACTTTCATGGATTCAATATTTCTAAATGGAATGATGCAATTAATCTCCCTGATTAAAGCAGTCCCCATTAAGCAGTTGTAATTGCATCATATACTATAACCAGTGCATAAAGAACAACAACATGTAACAGTGAAGCAGCAACTGATCCACAATCCCATGAAAAAACTATTCAAGAATATCATGTGGAAAGTAAGGAGTGAAATGGTTCCCAAGTGAGAAGTGAAATCCTTCAATCTCTAATATTCAAGCTCCCGTTTCTTTAGAAAGAAAGAGATAAAATAATAAATTGCCTCAGGACACGATCTGTTAAACTTTACAACCTGTCCAATCTGTACACAATTTCCATGACACAGTTACCAAAACATAACAAGGGTTTTGGAAAAAAAAAAAAAATCAACTAAAAATTAAGAGCATTTTGCATGTATGTCCTATATCCATAATTCATGATAAAAATCTTAATATTTATTTGTTTCAGAACCACCCTTATTTTAAGCTTCCCACTTTGCCCACTATGTTCCCCGCCCATTCAAGGAATACCGGAAGCTGGCAAATTCAGGATGGAATAAGTCACTATTAGAGCTGGCTCAAAGTATTATTGAGAAGTAAATTCTTACAAAAGTAAGATGAATCAGCGTCTCGCACATAGTCACGAAAATCCTCCAAAAATTTAAGCACATGACATCCAAATGAGACGGTAAAATTAGGAGGAGAAAAAACAAGAGCCTTAAACAAGTCAGAAGACCTCATTAATGGTACAACACGGGGGCAAAGAACGCATCAATGTAATAAATCTCCCAAAGAGTAAGGAAAATAGATGTCTTTATATTCCCAATATGAATTGCATATTTAGTTTTGTTGTTACCGCATACCCTAACACGAATCATTTATATAGTTCTCGCACAAATTCCTCAACATATTAAAGGCTATTCATACCAAACAAACTCCAAACACAAAAAAAAAAAAAAAACAACCCTTAAAGCTTCAATACAATCATTCCAAAATCTTCCCTCCTTCAATTTTCATGAACTAAGCCCTAACACCTAATTCACAAAAATCTGTCAATTTTACAACAACCCGAAATTTACAAACATGAGGCTCTCTTTTAACATTGGAACCCCAATCAACAATAATCTAAAAGAGAGTAAGGAAAATGAAAAAAAAAAAAAAATAGATGAATTTCAACATTTGCATAGAAACAATGAAAGCCCGAAAATCCCAAAAACCCAACAGAGTGAGAGGGGTTTAAAAGCAGTAAAAGAAAGAAAGCAATAAAAGCGAAAATTGAAGGAATACCTGAAAAAGAAAGTAGTTGAATTGGGAGAAGAAGACAAGGAGGGGAAGAAAGAAGAGGCAGCACCATGAGCAAGTGCATCTAAAATCTGGGACCACGTGGAGGGACAGTCCACATGTGCCGTTTCCTCTGGTGGTCTTCCTCTTCACCAGCTCGCCATCCATGCATACGCATACGCATGATACCCTTGCATTTTGCCCTAAAACGAGTACCATCAATCCCTTTTTTACCCCTTCGTTTTATCACGAATTCACGATTTTAAACCCACCCAACCCTAGATCATCAACCATATATATAACAAACAAAAGGAAAAGGCCCAACCCTAAATTAAAAATAAAAAATTGAAGAGATAGAAAACTGATCTAATTGAAGACGAGATCCAGAAAGAAAGGCGACGATACGATTGCACCTCCCTCTTCGAGAATCTAAGAGAGAGAATAGCCCAAAGCGAGAAAGTGAAACAAATGAATGAGAGAACGCAAAAGGAAAGGTTACGTGTTTACACTTGGTGATTTTTATTGGTATGACAGTTCCACGTCAGCCAAGTGAAAAATTTGGCAATTTAACCTTTTGTATTTTTGTTTTTTTTCTTTTTTCTATTTCTACGTAACACTTTCCTAGTTTCCTGTTGCTGTTTCTTGTAGTTATATACCAATCTAATTTTTTTTTTTTTTTTTTTTTTTTTTTATTATAATCACAGTATCTGTGTATAACTCTATTAATCTCGAACATCTTATACCCAAACTATTAAATCAACTATTAAACACCTATGACTAATGCCAATCGTTATTTATTACACAACCCTCGGTTAAAACACAGAGACTTGTCATTATCTTCTTTTGGTGTAAGTATCGATTGGTCCATTCTTAGCATTAATTCTGACAATCATTATGAGAAAGGGTGGGGATCATGTTGTTTAATTGAATCGACAAATTCTATTTCAATCTAATGAAACATCAGTATCAACCCCAGATGTAATTGTATTTAAAAAAAAAAAAAAACACATATACATTCATAATCCAAGACACAACATGCGCTTTTTTTTTTCAGTTTATCTAATGTATATATATTTTCAGCATTGCCTTCTCGTTATTGCTCCTCGGCTCCTCCTCCTTCAAGGCTTCAACCTCGCTAGCCACATTTATCCCACTAACCATTGCTAGAATTCGCTGATTGATTTGCCAAACAGTAGGCACTCACCATTGCTCCAATTTGCATTTCCCTTGAAAATCCATACAAGCACATAATTTCAGTATCAACATCAAAATGCTCCACCATTTTTTTCTTATATTTAAAAGTTTCTACTTTCTATTATTATTCTAGTTAAAGATCAACTATATTTTATTATGTACAGAATGATCACGCCAAATCTCAAAGTAGAATTATAAAGGCAACTAAGCTTGCTGATCTCACATACAAACATGGAATATATCAGATTTCAATGTAATGGCAATGGCCAGTCTAATTGTTAAACAATCAACAAGCTCCACAAAATAAAATGAAAATGAAAAACCATTACACAACAAAGATTGGGAAATCCATCCAAAGGAAAGAGTATGAAGATGACACAGAGCGAACTGTATACCAAGGTGTCGCCTGAGACCCCCAATCCAAATGTCAATAACACTAACCGAAGACAAGTGAAAAAAAATCAGAAAACATAATCAACTAAGGCTAACTTATGCCCCACCATTTGTACTCAAAATTATACTACCTTGTCTATCACTAAACTGATTACAAGAAACCATTATCAAATTAGTAAAATGCAGTCCAATGTCCCTAAATGAATATCTAGTGACTATAGGCCTGAGTCTCATAATACCAGGCTATATGAGTATCAATACAAGAAATATGTAATTTCATGATAGGCAGGGTAGGTACAATGACCAGAGTGTCTATAAAATAAACAAAAGAAAAATGAATAAGCAGAGAAAATATACAAGGAAGCGAAGACAAGTAAACTAAAAATTCGGCTTAAAGCAGAGATCCCAAACCAACCTCCCATTATCAAGAGGTTGAAAGAGGAAGGGTGCTGTTTGTCCAATGGTATATAATGTAAAAGAAACTAAAGACAAGTATGGACACCAATTTTGAATGTCAGGATAGTACAGCGCAAGCTTTCCAACAGTTAAATATCTACAAAGGGGAAAGTGATCTGCAGCCACCCAGGACAAACTCAAGTAACAAACAGCTTAAAGACCCAGAACAGATTCTTTTACGATACAATTGATTCAGCGGAAGGCTGGGGGTTGATGATGACTAATAGCAACATCAACTAACTCACTTACCACCCATCCTCCGAGTGCACACAAGTTAGACGACGACCTCTCGGGATTAGCCAATGCCCATCCTCAAAGAACTGGGGAACTGGAAAAGAATCAAATTAAATATAAACAACAAGGTGGCAACAGATGCAACTTCTAAACAAAAGATTTTAAACATGTGTACAAGGATAAGATTGTCGAAGTTAACCCACAAGAACAAAGGGGATAAAAAAGCAGCTGTAGCACAAAATTTCTGAAATATTTTATCCAATAATGCTCAAGTGTGACTGGGAAAGACAAACAAAGTGTTGATAGCAGAGGAAATGCCAAAAGCTGTCCTGAACCTCATTTAATTTTATTTCTATTCTGTTTACTTTTCTTTTTCCTTTGAAATCAGGTAACTAGACCTTGCACAAGCCAGTTAAGTCCTAGACCAGTAACAAAACAACTGTCACTAGAGTTGAGTGAGGTCTTCGACTATTTCTTATCAATGGCCCAAAAAACAGTGTGGCCTACACGAGTGAAAAATGAATAAAAAACTTACGAGCTTTCATGGGTCATTGGGTTGTAACACCACCAATTGCTACTGCCACGAGGACTGCTTGTAGCCATCCCACCCTCCCTCAGGTACCTTCCTCTTCAAAATGCCACCTGCCACTTGATACATCCTTGCTTGCTCTTCTGTTGGTGTATGTGAACTGGCAACAGACAATTGCCTCGGTGCAAGAGGAGACGTCTCATCTCTACCTTCTATGTCTGGGCCACCAGGCCCTGCATTCAAATCTAGGCCCTGCCTTCCCCATTTCCTACTGCTGTCAACACCAACATTGTTAGTGCCATCTGCTAGATTAACAACATAAGGCCTAGGGTAATGGGACGGGACTGTGCCAGCAGGTCCTAATAATTGTGAATTGACTCCAGGGAAATACAGCCTCCCACCAGATGATGCATCCACATATGTTGTTGAACCACCAGAAAAGGTGGCCGAGGGGAGAGGAAAACTGTTACCAAAAGGGAAGACAGGATACTGAAATGAGGTGGATGGAAAGGTCACTGCCGGAGAAGATGACAGCACCGAGCCCCTGAAAACATCAGGACTAAATGGGGTGGCAGCAGTAGGGGGACCCAACATCCTTTGGGGCCCACCCGTTGCAACCATGGGAAAAGGCTGCTCTCCTCTATCAGGCAAGATAGATGGAATTGACATGGCTGAGTAGTTCCCAGTGGCAAACCATGAAGATATGTTCCCTGTCTCAGAGTTATTCACCCGAAGGCCTGAAACAGATGGCTGGGACGGCACACTGCCTCTAAGGTGCTGGCTAAACAGTGATGGTTCAGCACTCACCTCATCAACAGGCCCATTATTCAAATCAAAGTCCCTGCAGACACCCACCTCGCCAATAGGACCACCCGATGACTGTTTTAGAGACTGGTGTGGTATATCAGGTCTACGAACATTGCTTGTTGAGAGATTACCCAAATCAGTAGGCTCTTCAACTCTATTTAAATCAAGATCAAGTCCTCCGAAGCACCGTACAGGTGCAGAACTAGTATGTTCGCGTGCCAAGTCCCTATTATTTGTGTGCTCAGATGCAGAAGCTGTATCCTGAGCAGAGGTTCTAGAAGCTATATCCTCAAGGATTCTCTCATCTGGTACATTCAAATCAATATCCAATGGAGGCCGAGTGTGTTTGCCAGCAGTGGCATCAGGAGGAGAAACGTTACTTGTACTCAACGACATCTCCAAAACCTTTCTAGGTTCAGCAGGCCGAAATGCACTTGTGGCCGCTGATCCCTTCCAACCAAGAGCTACTTTACTCCTCAATAGGTCCTCTGGAGGAACAAAAGGCCCTTTTGCAGCCGCAGCCACTGTAATTGAAGCAGGAAGGCTACTTGACACAGAAGAAACAGCAAATGGTAATGGGCTAATCAACTGAACAGTACCTGTACATCCTGGGCTTATTAAGTTATTTGACTCCCCATATTTCCCATCATCCCCGTTAAAGCCTTCATTCAAATCAAATTCCACTTTTGCATCCATATCTGAAACCCCTGCATCAGGGAAAGAAGCATCAGCAGTGGTAGATGTAGATTCCTCTGCTTCGTCCACTTCTGCCTTAGACCCCCTAGATCTTGCACGCTGTTCTGCTTCTTGAACTTGTAATGCAGTCAATGCCTTTGAAGGAGTTGGTCCATCAGAAAATTGAACATTAACCTTAGCTTCTGAACTTTCCTCTGCAGTCTCACCCTTGTGATCAATAAAAGCTGAACCTGAAACTGCTACAACTCGGTTCTCACGAGTTACAGAAGCATTACTGTCCCATTCAGCTTTTTTCTTTTCACTGTCTTTTACATGTCTCCAGCCATCCGTCTCATCAGCCTTCTCAGACTTAACATCATCAACATTCACTGAATCCTTATCCTTGACAGAACCCGAGGGAACCAGCAGTCCCTCATCTGTTTTTTTTACAAACTCAGGCTGTATCACAGTAGCAGGCTTGGACTCATTATGCACACCACTGTTTAAACCTTCACACATCATTTTATTCTTCTCACTTTCAATTTCAAAAGATGGGTTAGATGATCCTTCAATGCCTTTGGTTTCAATTTCTAAACCTGATTCAGATACCTTATCTTCGGTTAACAAAGATGCACTTATCTTTTGTTTCGTACCTGGAATGCCATCAGCACGCACTCCACTTGCCTTTTTCTCTATAAGTTCTTTGCCTTCTTCACCATCAGATTTCTTTTCTCCAATGCAAGCAGAAGGTGCAAATCGTGCAACCCCAATTGCATCTTCTGAAATTCCATTACTTTCTAGACATGACTCTCCAGTCTGCTGCAAACCCATATTTGAAGTTGTTAAATGTCCACTAGGGTCCCCATCAGGTTTCTCTTGAGAAAACAAGGAATTGTTTCTACTGTCTCTACTGTCTGTATTCTTAACCCAAACAGTACCAGAAGGAACCTGCTTCTCACATTCATCATCAGCAGAATCAACAGACTTACTTTGGTCTTGACCAAGATCATGTCGAGGAGACGATTTTATTCTTGAATCATTGACATTGCAAGAGTGATCCACAACAGGGGTATTCCGTTGAGGAGAATCAGCTGGTGAAGCCATGCCAGATTTAGAAATCTCCCCAGCAGCCACACTAGCAAGCAGATTCATCCCAGCATCATCCCCAACTGGCATAGATGCCTTGGCTTCAGAGTACTTGACACAACTTTCAATCAGAGCATTTATTGAGCTGAACGAACCCTCACGCAATTTTCCTGATTTGAGATCATTTCCCGATAATGAGGAGGCAGCTTTTGAAACTTCAACCATTTTTCCAGTCTCGTCACCAGTCCTACCGGGCTCTTCTTCAGGAACAGTAGCAGGTGATCCATCTCCCTCATCAGACCCAGTAAGTACATCTTTAAAATCATTGCTTTGCCAAGATTCATTATTCACATCAGAGGGAATATTAGGTCGATAGCCATCACTCTTTTCCTTTAAGTTACGATCAAATTCATCATGTTTATCCAAAAGCACAGGAGAAGAAGCTCTGCTGTTCATCACTGAGGGTTCTTCAAAAGATGCTGCACAGGCACTCTGTGCAGGACTACGACCACGATTTGGAATTTTAACAATCAATTTATGACTATTTCCCTCTACAATGGGCATATCAGGTGCCTTTTCACAAGTCACGCCAGACTGTGATAATTTTTCCGAAGCTGGGTTTCTGTGCGAGGAAGAGTTTCTGCTTGACCCATGGTCCCTCTGACCACCAGATTGAGCTGGCCCAGGGAAGCCATTTGTCGATTTCCGAGATCGCGAAGAACCACCAGAGATCTTATTCACAGTCATTGAACCAGCTGTTGAACTCCTTGCATCCTCCTTCCCAGAGAAACCCCCAGTTTTTGCATGGTCACTGGAACAAGATTGACTATTATTATGGGACTGACTGGAACTGCTGCTTTTCTCATCTCTAGCTGGTGTTGAAGGAAGATCAGAGGCACCACTAACACTAGCATTTCGTGGCTGTCCATCTTTAAGGTTTGTACTCCCTGATGCAGGTGAAGGAGATGATTTTATACACCCAGGAGATGTAGATGCAGATTTTGTAGCAGTCTCCCCCTGGACAAGCTTGGCTGAAGCAATTTTTGAAGCAGAAAGTTGCATTGTAGAGCTCTTAATGGCAACATCAGAAGATCCACCTGAATTTTTGCTTCCACCATGAGAAAATTCTGAATTCCGTGTTCTGGAAGGCCAGGATACAGCCTGATTTGAACCAGATTTTGCATCCATTTCAGCCTCAACGCGTTTCTTCCATGTGTCAACTAAACTCCTTGCTTTCTTCTGAATTTCCAAATTCTTATGTGAACGCAAATGATTCACAGACTTCCCAATATTACACATTTGCAAGGCATGAAGATTTACTGGCAGCTTATCAAGCGCGCGAAGTGAAACTAGGAGAAATTCCTCAATGGATTTATCACCATCCTTAGGGCTACTACCATCACCAAGCTTACCTTTATGGACCTCCTGGAGCCATTCATCAAAGACTGGCAAACCCTTAAGCTGCACAAACCTACTAAGGCAATCAAATTTATCTGTTGCTGCCACCACACCAGCAAGCATAGACCGGCAAACCAAGTCTATCTTCTTCTCATTTTTCTCAGGTACCATGAGCTGTACCAACTTTTCCACCCCCTCAAAATCTACAAGACCACCTTTCTCTGTGATTTTGGCAATCTCAGATCTTAAAATAGTTTCTGATCTAGCATGACCAAAATCCCCATCATCTATCTTTGTTGAGCGTTCTCTTTTAACAGGCTCAGAGCCTTGATCTCCCCGCTCCCTTTTCTTCCCCTTAACTTGTGAAGGAAATGAGGAGGCACTGTTCTGAACACTATCAGAACCTGGTTTTAATTGTGACGTTGATGTTGGACCATTCATTCGCTTTGGAGAACGGCCACCTGGCTGCAATGCTGCATGCATCTCTATACGTGTCTTAGATAAAAGCTGATCTATTTCTTCCTGCCAACCCTGAAAAAGAAGATGAGCATATTACTCCTTAAGAATCAATTACCTAAGTTAAAATGGAGCAAGACATGCAATTACATCGAAGACTCACATCAATGAAATCTTGATCAGTTAGCCACCATAAACACTTGCGCTTAATATCATAAACTCGCCGACACACAAATGAGCAAAATCCTGACGGCAGTTCAACACCTTTTGGAAGGAATGCGACTTTACACGGATGCAGTAAGGAAGCAGCTGGAATCTCATCCTTATGAAAGGAGAAGAAGATTTCGTTTGGCGCAGCTTCCAACAGGATGCCTTTGCCAAGTTTTACTTCAGCAGGTCGATAAAGCCAATTAACACTTAACTTTAATTTGTTCTCTTCACCAGAAGTCAGTGCACGAATTATTCCAATGAAAGGTGGGGAATCCTGGGGCGGTTTGAAAAGAGCACAATCTCCAACACTGATCTTGCGTCCATCCTGTGGAAAACAAAAAGAAATTTGGTTTGGTGAACAAAAGACTGACTTGACAGAAAGAAAAACTACACAATGTATAACTTTTACAGACACAGTAATGAACTGATTGACCTGAAAAAAAGAACAAGAAAAATCAGCAGATAAAGATCGCCGAAATAAATGAAAAAAGAGAAATTCAGAACCAACAACTGATAGTTACCATCATCATCACCATCTCAACTTTCCTTTTATTCAAGCTACATGTATATTGTCTAAGTCAAAATGATTGCTAATAAGAACAACCATTGGGATCGATGATATCATAAAGTTATGAATTGAAAAGCTCCTAAGTAACATAAATTAACATAAATCCATCCAACTAAACTTTTCCGTTGCATTTGTCAACCAAGAAACTACTGTATTTAACATAAAACAATCTAAGGATGAGATGAGTTATTCATTTATCCACAAGAGGAGCTACTTAAAAATTCAACAGTATTATCTGGCAAGGGCAGACCCAAGCTGGTTGTGACCGCAAGAAAAAGGGCGAAAATCTTGAATATCTAGGGCTTTCTTCAATAAAAACTACTTAAAGAATAAACAATCTCAGATCACATCTTTTGAGTTTCAACCAGACATCCTAAAACTTTAATAAAACATTTTCTTTTCTCGACACATCAAGGAACTCATAAGAATATCAAAGAGAGCATATTTCCAAGATTCAACAAAAACCTCAATTATGAGTAGATGTAGAAGCACTGACACACAATATTAACGATTAGAAGGCAATTAATAATCCTTCAATTTTTTAGATTATACATTTTTTTGGGCATATAAATCGCCATTCCTTTCTATTTACAAACCCATTTTACTTTGTAATATTCAAAATTCTTGAGGACAGTTATCAAGAAAAGGAAAACAACTGATGCAACTTCTACTTCTTGCTTCTTGCACCTAGCAGGGAGATCCCTTTCCAGCAGCCAAGCACTTCCAACCATGTTTCCCTAACTCCAGCTTTATGGCATCAAACTCAGAGCTTTGATTTTCTTACTCCAACGGACAAGAAGAAAATTTCCTAGAATTGATCTCTTCCTTTCATCAATTTATCTAGACTCCAAATTACTCAATCATCATTCATCTCTAAGTAACCAATTGAATCACATAGCATGCTTACAATACTTCTAATCCTTTTAGTTACACTCCAATCTAACAAAACCTACATTACTTACTTCTTGTAGATATAATCTCTTCATTAAATAATAGCTCCACGCCTGTGTGTGGGTATGTGCGGGAAGCAAAAGACCATCTCCAGAATACTATACAAAAGAAGAATCAGAAGGTAATTGACGCATAAAATATTAAGCCAATCAATTGAGAGCACAATTCTCAAAACTGGCTTGCTTCCCGCAATTTTAAATCAACCAAACACGTCATGCCACAAAACTACGGAAAATCTCTAAATAACTTGACATCGATTAATCCAAAACCTCATAAATCCGATATACCGTACTCACTTTCCAACAAAACCATATCCCCAACATAAAAAATTACACGCATCTTAAAAAAGTATATATAGATCGATTTCAACGATTTGGTAGCAATCAAAAAGCAAATCCAACCAACGAATTCAATACAGCTCCGAAGAATAAAACAAAAACCTAAAATCATGAAATACCTTATTAAACGAATTAGCTGAATTGGAAGAAGAAGAAGAAGAACCATCACCAGCTACGCTCGCACGTGATGGGACAGTCCACATGTGCCGACCCGCCCGTTTCCTCTCCTCTTCACCTGCCTTCCACCCATGCATACACATAATACCCTTGCATTTTGCCCTAAAACGACTACCATCAATTCACTCTCCTTAATTTTTCCCCAAATTACCCCTCCTTTTCTCCCTAATTTACCGTCGATCCCACCGGCCCCAAATCCAGAACCCTAGCCAGCACTCACCAAAAAAAAAAAAAAAAAAAAAAAACCCCTAATTCAAAACCCGAGTTCCAGGTCTTCGCTCGACAGAATTCCTCTACACCGATCTAATTGAAGGTCAGATCGCGAAATCGTGATCGAGATGGAGAAAAAGATATGAAATTCAAGCCGTCGATCTAGAGAGAGAGTAAAATCCAAAAGAAATCGAAGAGAGAGAGACAGCGAAAGGAAAGGTGTACTTGGCTACTTGGTAGGCAGAAACGGGCAGCGACTTGGGCAGATCGGGCAGAGAGGGAAATGATAAAGTGACCTTGCGGTGAGTTTATGGTGAAATGATTACATGGAAAATGTGAGACAACTGAACTGATTTTAGAATGTTGACTGATCTGAGAGTGTTCGACTTTTTGGGTTTTAAAATTTGAAGTGGTGTTTGGAAATTTTGTTGTTATTATAAAAAGATGGGCCCAGTGCAGTGGGGGGGTAAAATGGGAAATAAATGGGGTTTTGGAAATTTGCACATGAGGGCATATGATGGAGAAGTTAAGGTTGTCCTGCGTTGTTCCAACACACGTTACTAAAGTGTGATGTAAATCTGTTACTGTTTCTGTCCAGTTTTAGATTCTTTGCTGGTTTGCTTCAGTAAGCATGACTCTGTTTCTTCTATTTTATTTTTATCTTTTTTATTTTACCCATATACCCTTCCATTTTGTTCATAAAATCTTTCCTGTCCCTTTGGAATTAGTCAAATAATATGTTTCAGGAATTAATAACATGGTGATTGGTTAATCACATTCTAAATTATTTAACTACCAAAGTTGAATTTATCTTGTAAAATGCATATCTTTTATCTAATGACATTTTAAGCCCCAATCTATCGATAAAGGACATCTGCCCTCCTAATTTCAGAATTAACATAACCCTCGTGAAACATATATATAACATTATGAATGGACAAAATTGGTTAAGTAAAAGAAGGTAACATTGGATGTTACATTCCCGATAGACTAGGGTAAAAATTATCATTCAGCCTAAAAAATAATTATTGATCCCATTAGAACAATTAGAACCGACCAATAAGGTATTAGACCCAAATTGCAGGTGAAAAGGTTGAGTAAATGGGATTTAGAAAGGGCGAGTCATTTTCACAATTGTGCGGTTGGTGATTGGCTAAATCTCTGGCTCTCTGCAAACAGTAAAAGCCGAAGTACTCTGAAGAAGACATGTCCTAAGACCGTAGTAAACAATGGTTATCACTTATCAGTATCCTATTTCATGGCCATACCCCATAACCCTTTCAACTTGCAGACACGGCGGGGCTCCCAATGTTGAAAGTTTGATGCTTTTAATACTTACAGACAGAGTTCAGGTTACCCTCTGCCTCCCTCTACAGAAAGATTTTTGCTCTACTTTTTCATCTCTCTCGTGAGTCGTGTGTGTGTGAAGCAGCAGCATTTTCGGCCCCTCTTCTCCCTTATCTGCAACATCATAATTGACTACTGCTGAGGCCGAAACTGAAATCATGGTTTCAATTGAGTCAATTCAAGCCCATAATACAATCGACCATGCCCTGCTGCAGCCTGTATTATCACTTTTGGCAGCTGCTCTAGGGAGCAAAATGAGACAAAGACCACACAAAACAACTTACAAACCCTTGTTTTTTTCTTTTTCTTTTTTTTGTAGTTTAGAACACAGAACAGTGATAGACAGTATTCAAGTATTTTTATACTTTTCAACCCTAATAAAATTAAAGCTTCAGAATGTTTTTAACATTGCATATACTGCCAAAGCCCCAGCAACAGATGCTCAAAAGGTGGAAAGTAATAAGAAATTATAGACCTATACGGTATAGCGAGGCTCTGAAAATGGCACACATGATTATTTGTGAATAAATCAAATGTACATAAAGAGTATTGGAAATCATTGCAGGACATGTGATGCAAGAATCAATTAATAAAGAAGGATCAGCCTAGGAGGTCGCCATAATAAATTGGTATTAATCGACACATGCAGAACCATACCTCTCCCAAGCATCAGTTTATCACTCAAGGGGATATTGTGTTATCCTCTTTGATTGTTGAAATTGAATCATCACAACCATCTCATTCATTGAAAACAAACTCATGAGCCTCATTGCCTGATCTCTTTGGGGTACAAACAAACAAGATGATAACCCTCAGTCTTCTTTGATATCCAAAGCAGTCACATATAAATTATTCAATGTAATCAGCAAGAAAACTATTCGAAGTTAATTGTTCAATTCAAAGATCTGGGCAGTATATCCATTCAGATATACTGCAGATATATTTTTCCCTATGCTCCCTTGAAATTATTTGTCTGCTTCAAGCTAGTTCACAAAGCTCTAAACAATATAAGACTTTCAATCGTTACATGGAGCAATAATAAGATTTCAAATTATATCTCTACCAAAATGGTTAATTCCAGCAGTCATAGCACAACTCAACAAATCTTCTACAAATTTGCAACAAGCAGTGAAGAGATTGGTAAACCACCAGTCTGTATTCTTGTACCCACCGAAATAGGCATATCACATCCTACCAACAAAACATAATATGCCTTAACAAAAAGTGATATCAAGTTAGGAAACATCACAAAGCATTTATCATCCTCTTCATCTCAGCGGACCTCCTAGGATCTGGCTCTTCAATTGCTCTTTCGGTGAGTACATGTTTGATACGGCACATTGACTTTCTCACCTGAATTTCATGATGATTAACAACCAAAATCTAGTTAGCAACGCTGTTTCAGGAAGAAGGAAGCAAAGGAAGAGTCTTGGACACGTTATAACAAACTGAAGCCAAAACAACTAGCAAGTGGCATGATTAAACCATTTTCACCCCAGAGATCAAAAATTATTTAAAAAAAAAAAAAAAAAGGAAGTATAATCATCTCTAAAGTTTCTTAATTCTACCAGCTTGGAGAGCATGAATTATAATACCACAACAACTTTTGTATTCATAGTACTCATGTCTCGCTGGTAAAGCATGAATTCCCAACCAGTTAAACTCACAGCCTTCAGGACACTCTTTAATGCATACAATTTAAGGTCCATTGTCTCCATACCAATGATTATTTAACCCTTCCAGATCATGGATGACAGTCAAGCTGCTTAACTACATTCCAGATCACAGAGGAATGCCACAAAACTTAATACGTAAGGGTATCTTTCAGCACAGAAAATGCAAAAAAAATTAATTCCATTATACATTTAGGCTATCGTTCCCCTAAATATAGTACAGTAACCTATGTGTACATAATTTGTGAAAGAAATTAGTCGTTTCATTAGCAGACTGATTGGCAGCAACACAAGTGAGCAATCTGAAACAGATTAAATACCCTTCTTCATGTCATCCCAACTTTCTTTTTCTTCATTTATAGAGGAGTATACTCAAAGATATTCTAGAAACTGGCAAATCATAGCACACTTCCTCTACTGGTGCCCTAGGTTGACTATGAGGTTATATTTTATTTTTCCATATTATAAAAACCAGAGTGTGATTAACCAGAGCTACAAGCAATAATTCTGACTATGTATCATATAATAGGACAAAAAAGTCACTTATACCTTGGGAAGGCGCTCTGGATTGGGAAATCGTAGGTTCTGGGCATGAAGCATCTGGCGCTGAGTCATCAGCATGTTTTTCTCCTTTAACAGAACATACCATAGCTTATGAAGATCATCCCAAGACTTCAAGCGCAGTTCAGAAGCTTTCCAACTTCGACCTGACAGAAATAATATTTTGAGAAAGAATCTTTAATATATACCTTTGATTAAAAATCATTTTTCCATTCCCACAACAAGACACAAATTGTAAGATGAATGTGCAAAATGACCTCACATGCAAACAGATAAATTTGAGAACATAACTAAATTCACACTAAGATATTAACTACTTGATGCATTATCTAAAACAAAAATGATAAATATGGAGCTAATTATTTGGCAAGATGCTTTTGATATCGTAAAACAATAGCTTACAAGTTTATAAATCTGATTTTTTCTGCCACCGCATCACAGAGTAAATAAGAGAATTTGACGAAACTCCATTAATCCTAAAAGTCGAGCTAATAGGAAATGACCCAACAATAGTATTGGCCAAATCATGCAGATCCACGTACAGAAAGACACATATGTGGGTCCAAACATGCAAACTCTTGCTTAATTTTATGAAGGGAACAAAGGAAGTTTTAGGACTTGGACACCAGGCCTCATTGTGGAATTTGCTTTAACACAATGCTGAAACACCATAAATCCCAAATACTTAAGCTCATAGGAAAGACCGAACAATAGTATTCAAATTCTAACATAAGTAATGTCATATTAGCTAGTGATTTAGAGGCCTTAATCCTAGTACACATTCTGCATCCCATGGATAGACAGAGAGGTGGCAGAGGTTTTGGCTTTTGGATTTTAATTAGACTTAACAAAGTCTGGAGGTTCTAAATGAAAAGATTGCGCTTGCTAAACAATATAAGTAAAAGATTATAGCAGAAAAATAGTAAGAATTCAGTAAATCATCAATTTCGTGGAAACGGAGAAAAAAAAAAAAAGCTGAGGTATAACCCACAAAATTAGTGCCACACACATTTTCTACGGCTTCAATTTCAGATAGAGACCAATCATTCTACATGAAAACTCAAGCAAGGCCTAATTTGTGCTCTATTATGAGTTTTTCGGGCCATGGTTGTAAAAGCAATGAGCTGTCAGGCCATATTTTCTCATTCGACCTAGTTTGTGTTCTACAAACTCCAAACTCGTTATTGTAAGATTTTACGACATGGCCTTTCAATTTAGAACAAAGAATAACAGCAACAAAGGCATAAGAAAAAATAAAAAAGCAAATGAGCAGAAAAGAACAATGAGAACATAAATGGTTGTACCATAAACAGGTTTTTGATCATCAGGAGCTCTATCTTTCTCAAAAAGCTCCTCGAGAGGGTTGTGCCCTGACGTAGCCATCGTAGCAGCAGCTCCAGAAGCTGCAGATGACTCTGATTTTGCAGCAGCCAGGAACGACCGCCCAATAAATCTCGTCAAAAACATAACTGCGATTTTACTGTTCGCAAACAAAATGAACCAAAAAAATAAATAAGAGAACATAAAAGTTACAGCAACTAGTTGATAGAAAAAGGAAAAATAAAATAAAATAAAATGGACGTAGATTGAATCAAACCTGAAGAGGGCAAGGAGTTACGGTGCAGATAAAATGTTTGAAGAAAAAACTCAAAGAGTCTCTGGGGTTTTTGTTTCGGGCGTTGGAAGTGAAGGGAGGTTTTAGGGAGTTCAGTGAAGACAAGTGAATTTTTTGCCACGTAAATGGATCAGCAAGTGGGCTGAATCTTATTCTCTTGACTGTGATCCAATATCAGAAATCTAGGCCCATGATCGCATTCGAGAAGACCCAATCCCTCTTGTATTAATAGCCCCATCTAATAAAACTAAAATAAATAGATTGTTATTTTAAATTTAATTATAGTTTTAAATATAAATTTTTATATCGATACTATAAAATTCTCAAATTTATAAACAAACTAGATGACGCTAGAGTATATACAAACAAATATGGAATAATGTTTTATATAGAGCTTTTTTTTTTTTTTTTTTTAATGATCAGAACTGTTCGGACTAACTTATCGTGCACCTCAACTAATTCTCTGAAACTTTAGAATTATCGATCGGATAAGAGCTCCAGTCGTGAGAACTTAACCTTAAAATACCATGTTAGACCTTCCTCTTACTTTTTATCATAAAAAAAAAAAAATCGAACTTGAAAGTCCATATTATAGAATCGAACAAATAATTGATGTTATACGTAAAATTGTCCTTAACCGGCTCAATCAATTTCACCTCGAACGGATTTTCTGATTGAGAACTCTAAAACATGTAGCAATCAACATACACTCTACAACTTTGCGTTGAAATGTCACCATCTTATAGAGAATGCAATATCAAAAAATTAGATGTTGTTTATGTTAATGAGATGAACCAATTACGTCACTCTCATTTTTTGAATTTTTTAAGGTAATTTAAAACTTAACACTGCAGATAAGCCTATTAAGAAAGACTCATCCATCATCAGCATTATGATAGCACACCCTTTTTTTTTTTTTTAAATAGAATTATTAATTTCTCCATTATTGTCCATTGAGTTAAACATGTGAACAACTATTGGATGATTTAACCGTAAAAGAGTAAAAGAGAATCTAATACGATTTCTTAAGTTTCATCATCTTGATAATAAAAGAGTAAAGAGTGATTTAAACATAGTATTCTAAGAGGATTATCTAATATGGTCTTTTAAGTTCAAGTTTCTTTAAGCAATGTTCTGAAAACTGGACCGAACAATGACCCGTTCAAGGGTCTGGTTTCCGGTTTGACCGGTTGGACCGTAATTTATAAAAAAATTTTAGTCCATGAAGGTTTGAAATTCATCAAAAACACCCCTATAATACTCCCTTAAGGTTTGAAATCTATCTAAAACACCCCTATCGCGCGAAGATTCTGGTGAGTGGTGGCTGCAGCAACGATCGACGGCCAATCGAAGCTGGAATCTTGGAACTTTTGATGTGTAGGTGTTGGCGACTCTGATGGTGGTGCTAGAGAGTTTCATTGGCGTCGGAACTCGCCGGAATCAACAAAAGAAATCCGACATCGTGTAAATTTTAGGTGGACGGCGGTCGACGAAGGTTGGACGACAGCGACTAAAAATGGATGGGTTTGGTCGTGGAGATGTCGTCCGTCGAATGGGGGTGTTTTCTCCGTCAAAAGATGTCGGAATTCGTCAAGGTTTAGCTACGATTAGACCGCGATTCGACGCTATTCCGACAATCCAACCGCGGTCCAATCTGGTATAAATCAAAATAGCGGTTTTTTATATATATCGGACTGGATTTACCTCTGATTGTCGGTCGAACAGGTCTGACCAGATAGTCCGATCCAATTTTCAAAATATTATCCTTAAGGATAACAGAATAAAGGAAGGATCTAATATGATCTTTTAAATTTTAGTCATACAATTATTAATAAGAATGATTATTAAAACTTTTACTTTAACGTATAGTTTGAAGAGATTAATTGGGATATGTGTAAACTTTCTTATTTCTAATCATCGGATATTAAAAAATAGAAGAAAAGTTAACCACGTAACTTCAGTTCTCAACCCCAAACGTCTCGTCAATCATGCTCTCTTCACTATCTCATCACTGTGGACGTGGCACATTTATTACCTCATCAGTGACTCAGTGTAACTTTTCATATGGGCCGATCAGCCAAGCCCAGCTCAATTCTCCTTACATAAATAAATGTAAATAACAGAAACAAGGATGAAACGTGGAATAAATACAGGTAAGCTTCGTTAGCTAATTTAGCTAATCCAATTAAATTAATTAGGTGGACACTCTTAAATGACTCAACATATAAAACTGTTTCCTGTAATTAAAGTATATTTTTCATCATAAACAGAAAGAAAACAAGGGAATTTAACTCTAAAATGTACAATATATGGAATTTTATTACAAATTAACGTATATGATTAGGATTCAATTGAGAGGGACCTACACCTACCTCACCTTTCTAATGCATTGAATACGTTAGATAGGTTAAATACATAAGAGCATTAATAAAGGGAAGGTTCTCCCGTTGTATCAAGAGAGACTCACCAACCGCTCTCTATCTATAGCAGGAAAACATTAGCATCACCACCCAACAATTATATCAAATAACTTGTAATCCTACAAGAGTAAGGATGGGCACGGCACGGCCCCGACCTGAAAACTTAAGGGGATTCTATGATCCTGGCCCATAGCTCATTCGAAGAATTTAGAGAATCCTTGAATAAAGCCCGTTCCCCAAACGGGGAATTTGGGGATTCTCCATTTTTGGGTTTTGTATTCTTGTTACCATTTTCTCCAAATTATAATAAACCATTCAAAAAAAAATTAAATCTATAATGATTTATTGATTTATTATAATTAATCAAAACACCCAATGATATAATACACATATATAACATATATATTATGTATTAACATGTGATTATAGATAATAACATATATATGTATATATGTTATATACATTATACTTATATACCATATATAATGTATAATGTCAAATGTATATCATACACAATGTATAATACATATACATTATATATATATTACAAATATTTATAATGATTTATTATATTTAATCTAATTTTATTTATTATCTATTTGTATATGGTTTCATAAAATACTTACACAATTATAATTTGTTATTGTATAATATATGATTGATTTTCAAATATTAAAATTAATATAGATATATATGATTGATTTTTAATTATTAAAATTAATATAGGTGTGTATATATATATATATATATATATATGGGGGCTAGGCCGGGGATTTCGAGGTGGGGACAAAATGGGGCGAGGCAAGACCTATCTCGACCCCGGCCCATCCCCGAATTTCAAGACTAATTTTGGGCCCGATCCGAACCCAAATCCCAAATGATTCCTAGAAACTCCGTCTCGTTTAAGGCGGATCCCTGCGGCTAGGGGTGTTCAAAAGAACCGATTGGAACCAGAATCGGCGGGTACCCTGGGTTTGGTTCCAGTTCTTACCCAGAACCAGTCGTCAATGGGTAGGTTCCGGTTCCAAATTTTTGGAACCGTTACTGTGCAGTTCCGGTTCCGGTTCCTATAGTTAGGAACCAGAACCAGAACCAGGAACCAGGAACCGAGACTAATATAAAATAAAATTAAAAATTAGGGGAGTTAATATAAACTTTTGTAGAAAAAGTAATGTGAATACATTTATATTTATATTTCATAATATTTAAAGTAAGTTGGTTTGACTTTTGCGAATCTACCTTTACAAAGTAATGGAGTTTGTAATTTTGAATTTATAATTTGTAATTTTATTTTTGTTAACAAGTGCCAGGTGGGGGGGTATTTGTAAGTTTTTAAAGGTTTTTTTGCTATTTTAAAAACTTTTGGGGGGTCATGAATTTTACAGGGTACTCAGAACCGGAACCGGAACTGTTGTTACAGGTTCTGGTTCTGGGTACGTTGGTTCCGGTTCTGGTTCCAAATTTCAAGGAACCGTCGGTTCCGGTTCCGGTTCCGATTCCTTCAAAAAGTGTAGGGTATCCGGAACCGAACACCCCTACCTGCGGCACTGGGTTTTATGCCCATATCCCTATACACAAGTAATACTACAATAATAAACGAATCTTACAAACCTAATATGACACTCCTGCCACACTTTTAGGCAACGTCAATAGGTAGAAAAATTAATTAGAAAGCAAAAATCAGTTGTCACATTGGGTTTGTGAGATTCATTTGTTAACCTATCATTATTCATCACATATTACACTCCTAATATCAAATTAGAAAGCGTTAATTTCACATGCTCCATGAGAGATATTTAAGTAAAAAAAAATCCCAACAATTACCATAAACTATTTGATATTTTGAAGAAGTATTTAACATTTTATAATAATGGATCTAAAAAAGTCCGTTTATGCACACTATAAACTCAATGTTATAAGTTAAGTCATAAATGTGATCATGGTGATTGAACTCAAAAAATAACCAAGAAAACAAACTTTCTTAAACCTTACGCTAACTCGGTAGAGTTCAAATGAGATAAATTCAATTATATAGAAGATATTATATTAAAACATTGCTAAAAAACAAAAGGGCCCTAAAAAGGCCGAAGAATTTGCTAAAAAGGTGGTCCCTGTGTGAGGGAAGGTTAGGGTAGGGTGATATGGGTATCCCGTAAAGAATTGAAAGCAACACCCACGTTCTGTCTCTTGTTTTCTTCTTCTTTCTCCTTTCACTTTTTCCAATTCCTCTCTCTCTCTCTCTCTCTCTTTATGAGTCGCCAACATAATTACCGTCATTTTTCTTAATCTCAATCCCCTTGATTAAGGACTTAAGGTTAGGTAATCTCAGTTAACTATTTTAATCACCATACCATCATGATTTTGACATGTCACGATCCCCAGCAAATTTTTGATTGATCTGAGTATTCTGCAGAAATCCCATAAAGCTCTTCTTTTCACTGTAGAATATATCCAATATCCAATCACCCTTTTTCTTTTTCTTTTTTAAATATTGACAAAGGTTGCTTATAGTTATGGACCAAATAAATATGTCCAGCTAATCTTCAACTCGATATGATTCAAACAATCATGTGGGGTTCACGAATTTTAAAGGAATACAGTTGGATTTGCACTTTGATAATCTATTAAATTACTCTTAATATCACCTTACAGTAATTGTATATCCTTAATAATTTAATTATTTTTTTTGC